GTCAGAGGTCAGAGGTCAGGAGTGATTCAGGAAAGTTCTGTGAGTGATGAAGGGACAGAAACTGTGACCTCAGTGAGGAGGTGTGGTCGACCCTGTTGTTAGGTGTGATGTGATTGGTTGTCAGAGACACGCCCCTCTGTGAGCCTGTAAGGTGTGAGGACACCCAGTGGACATGAGATGAACTGCAGACTGTGACAGTGTCAGTGTTAGTGTGATCACTGCTGATGAAGGTTGAGACAGACTCAACTCATCACTGCTGCTCTGACCTCACATACCTCAGTGATGATGTCATCATTTTGTTTCTGACGTTACAGAGTCAGCTGGGAAATGTGTGTGTATCCCTGATGACATCATCTGATCTGCAGCGTCTCATTTCCTCTGTCGTCCAGTGTTTGGAGAATATTTCTCTGACCTCTTTGTGTTTCCACCATTTTCTCCTCTGATTCAGAAACTCTTAAACTCCTCCTCCTGCTCCCAACACTTTGTCTCCTCTTATCAGGTCTGACACGCTCTGTGGACGACTTTTATCTTTACCAGGACCACCCCTTAACTTTAAGCCTTAACTTTAACTCTTAACTTTAACTCTTAACTTTAAGTCTTAACTTTAAGTCTTCACTTTAAGCCTTAACTTTAAGCCTTAACGTTAAGCCTGAACTGTAAGTCTTAACTTTAAGCCTTAACTTTAAGTCTTAACTTTAAGCCTTAACTTTAAGCCTTAACATTAAGCCTGAACTGTAAGTCTTAACTTTAAGCCTTAACTTTAAGTCTTAACTTTAAGTCTTCACTTTAAGCCTTATCTTTAAGTCTTAACTTTAAGTCTTAACTTTAAGCCTGAACTTTAAGCCTTAACGTTAAGCCTGAACTGTAAGTCTTAACTTTAAGCCTTAACTTTAAGCCTTAACGTTAAGCCTGAACTGTAAGTCTTAACTTTAAGCCTTAACTTTTAGGGGAAATTCTAAGAAAACGTCACAGTTCTAAGAATTTTCTTAGAATTTTGTCACTAGGAGGAACTCTTAGTGCGAGGACGCTTTATGAATCCGACCCCTGGTGAAGTTAAGCTACTACGCTTCATCGGGCGCCAGCGTGACGCTGTCAGTACGACTTGCAGCAGCAGGCTGGCAGCCAATCAGAGGTGCTTATTGTCTGATAGCCTGTTTGATAACACAGGAGTGGGTGTGGCTTCAACTAAAGTGGGCTAGAAAAACATCTGACCTACAGGCTCCGCCCACTTCCTCTATACAGTTTGATCAGACCTGACATAGGCCCAATTCCAATCCGGCCCATAAAGACTCAAGCCCTGAACCCTCACTGACTTAACTGACATCAGCTGGAAGTGATTGAGTATTTGAGTGTACAAATAGGAATGGGACGGCACTTATCCCCCTCTCTACAAAATGTTGTTGACACTGGCGGCTCTGGGCGTGATCATTTATCGGTTAATGTCAGCATATATTCCACACACAAAGAAAATATATATATATATATATATATATATATATATATATATACACAGTACAGGCCAAAAGTTTGGACACACCTTCTCATTCAATGCGTTTTCTTTATTTTCATGACTATTTACATTGTAGATTCTCACTGAAGGCATCAAAACTATGAATGAACACATGTGGAGTTATGTACTTAACAAAAAAAGGTGAAATAACTGAAAACATGTTTTATATTCTAGTTTCTTCAAAATAGCCACCCTTTGCTCTGATTACTGCTTTGCACACTCTTGGCATTCTCTCCATGAGCTTCAAGAGGTAGTCACCTGAAATGGTTT